TCCTCCTTCTACTACTACTGAAAGCTAAACCACGATACTACCTCCTCCTCCCGTGATAAACAACTGCGGTACACATACATCATAAAACACGTTCCTATGTAGGTGTGGCGGGGTAGAGGGGAGACAGAGAGAGGAAGGGAAGTAGAAGGGAGAGGAAGAAGGAGGGAGGAGGGGAAGTTGAAGGGTGGGGGGGAAGCAGGGAGGGGAAGAAGGGGAGAAGGGTGAGGTAAAGGGAAGGAGAGGGGGGTATAAGAGGGTTTCAAGACGATTTAAATTCCTCGTGAAGAAACTTGAGGATGAATAGATTTTAAGTGTTTATGGTCATTTGTTGGTTGTATCCAGGGGAAGATGGGGTGGGGAGGAGGGTGAAGGGGAGAGAGTGAAGGAAAGTGAGGGATTTAGAGGATGGGGGAGTGAGAGAGGTGGGAGGAAGGGGAAGAAGGTGAGAGAATAGAGGAGAGGGAGGAGTGAGGGAGGTGGAAGGAAGGGGAAGATAAGGAGGGTGAGGGGAGGGATGAAGGAAGGTATGGGATTAGAGGAGAGGGGAGATGGGAAGTGGGAGGAAGTGATGGGAGGTTGAAGAATGTAGTGTGTGTGTGTGTGTGTGTGTGTGTGTGTGTGGCCTCACCTTCACCTAAAGGACCCACAAGGTACGTATACCTCTTACTGTTCACCTGACCCAGTACCAAGCTTAATAAACCGGTCAGCGGGTCTTGGGAAGCCAAATAACCCGGGAAAAGCTTAACGCATACCATTATTGAAACACAAGCTTATGATTAGGTCAGGTTAGGTTAAGTTACGTCAAATTAAGTTAATTAGGTTGGATTAAGTAAAGATAGATTAGGTTAGGTTAGATTAAGTTAATATAGGTTAGGCTAGGTTAAGTCATGTCAAATTAGGTTACGTTAGGTTAAGTCAGGCCAAATTAGGTTACGTTAGGTTAAGTCAGGCCAAATTAGGTTAGGTTAGGTTAAGTCAGGCCAAATTAGGTTAGGTTAGGTTAGAACAAGTTAATAAAAATTATGCTATACACAACATCAAAGCACAATAATAAACAAAAACAAAATACCTGAAGCCTATAAATAACTCTCATCTCTCATCTTTTATCACCAAATAAAAGACCCCAAAATCCCTCATAAATGGAGAGACAAAGTAAAAGTTGTACAATAACAAAATATCACCGAATCTTAGTACAGAAAAAAAAAAGATTGAACAGACTTACAGACAGGTATAGAGACAAGCTATGAACTTAATTATATGACAAAGTAAACAAATTGACCGGGTTCAGTAAACAGGTTTTAGGGGAAGGGGTGTGGGAGTGTGGGAGGTGGGGGAGTGTGGGAGGGGTGGGGGAGTGTGGGAGGTGGGGGGGGTGTGGGAGCTGATGGAATACCTTGATCATATAGTTCATTCGATTCTGATCCTTTTATTTCTACTCAATTCGTTTCGTTTTTCTTCTTCTCTTCTCTTCTTTATACAAGTCTTTTCAATCGTAATTTTGTCCATTTTACTTCTCTTCTCTTGTTTCGTAAATACCTTATCCATACCCAACTTCCTGACACACTACCTTATCCATACCCAACTTCCTGACACTACCTTATCCATACATAACTTCCTTTTGGGATGGTCAGGGAGGGTAAGGGAGGCAGTGGTTAGGGGGCCCAGGGAGGTGGTTTTAGGGAGGGTAAGGGAGGCGGTGGTTAGGGGGCAGGAGATGGTTTTGGGGAGGTCAGGGGGGTAAGGGAGGCAGTGGTTAGGGGGGCCAAGGAGGTGGTTTTGGGGAGGGTCAGGGAGGGTAAGGGAGGCGGTGGTTAGGGGGGGCAGGGAGATGGTTTTGGGGAGGCTCAGGGAGGCTTCAAAATAATAATAATAATAATAATAATAATAATGAAATCAAATTCAATTATTAACATTTTAGTTCCACAAGAGATCGAGAAAAACCAGGAGGAAAAATTATTTATGAAATTCCTGAAGGTCTTCCACTCACATTGTTATAAAAAAATATGTCACACATTGTATCCAAACTTGGGGATGAGGAATAATGACGTTTTGTCTGCCTGTCTGATTCATAAGACATGTTCTTATGTTCTTATGTTCTTATATGGGTTTTACTGAGTTCGTCATACTGTACTGGAGGAATCAATTTTCCTTCTCTTTGCATATTTATCTTTGTATCTCACTCCCCGTGTTTCTTTCTTTCACTCCTCTCACCCCTCACGTGCAGGTAAATACCGTACCTCAGCAGGGGTCCCGGGGGTCACTTGAAGGTGTGAGCTGGGATAAATCTCCAGGCATCCACTGTTAATCGCGCCATAATGGACGCTTATGAACACGATTACGTACTTTACTCAGCGACGTCTTTACCGAAATTGGTCGTTTAAGACTATTATTCCGCCTCTTTTTATTGATTGAATAAGAGATTGGCGCCAGTTGATGAATGAGGAAAAGTGCCGAGTAAGATTATGGTGCATAATGATCGTGAGAAGACATTAGGTGAAAGGAACATTTCAGGGCACTAGTTTGCCTTGTGGTGCATCGGAGGTCGTGAGGCGGTTCATGGTAAACTGATCGCGGTGTGTAACAATACGTTTTTTTTCTGGAGTTCTTTCTTTCACAATTTTGAGCTTGGGGCGATTTATTTTCCATTTATCAAGAAAGAACAAAATTATATTAAAAGGTGCAGCCGAAGTTTTGAATAAATACACTTAAGAAATGAAGTAAGATCATGCATTATATCCCACCATCCTGCGTGACGACCACTCCATGACCCAACATGACCACCATGACCCAGTGTAACCCGTCTTCCGGCATAATCTGTTAAACCCAAACGTGTCCTGTCGCGTTTTGTGCTATCAACCAATGTCAGAGAGAGAGAGAGAGAGAGAGAGAGAGAGAGAGAGAGAGAGAGAGAGAGAGAGAGATATACCAGCGTGGAAGTGTACTAAAACGGTCGTGAGGAAACTGTATTACGAGGCTACTGAACGAACACATAACAGCACGCCTTACAATATCAAGAAATAATGTACACGGAGAAAAACACAATTAAAACGAAAATAACTAAACACCAAAAAAAAGAAAGAATAAAATAGAGATAAAATATTTTAATTAACATAAGAAAATTGTTTATACTTTTCTCATATCCAATTACTACTCTGTAATATTTTTTACTTTATTTTTTCCTTCTTTATTCTTTTTTATTATGAATAGAAGTAGAAACGATGCATCAGTCCTTAGAATAAAGTAGAGGAGATTAATAATAATAACAATAATAATTATGTTTTGTGTTCATTGTTCAGTGAAGAAATAAACAGACAAAGGAATGTTAGTAACTTATAAGATACATAGAACACAATTAAGAGAAGGACAGTGAGAATTACAGGCAGATTACATTGTCATTTAGACGATTCCCAAATAGAATTTTTTTTAACCTAACCTAACCTAAACACCGATCACAGCTCACCTCACCCACCACGCCTCTTACTATGCAGAACGAACCACCCGTGAAACTTCCCTCTGAACCTCCTCAAAGTTCACTTGTTTTAAAGCTCCGGGCAAGAAGTCAACTTTCCCGCTGCGTTACTGATCGCACCCACAGGAGATACCAACACAGAGGCACTAAATAAAGGAATTATAAAAAAGGGGGAGGGGGGGGGGAACAAGTTTCACATCTGACCCAGCAATGACTATCTGACAATGGGAAGAGAAACTACGAGGACTTGAAAAGATGAAGCCTCGAAACTAAACGAAACAGTCGACCAGCTAACTGAGTTTTGGTTTATGAAGCATTGTTTAACCCGCGGGTCAAACCAAACAGACAGCTAACAAGGTCACTGGTACCCGCTATATGCACACGGAGACCGCCAAAAATATCTGTTAGGCTCCCCGCGGTCGTCATAACACAGGGTTCTTCCTACAACTCACTTTCAAACTTATTTACCCACTGTTTACGCTCCTCCGAAAGGCAACACCCTCTACCTCCTCCGTCAAGTGAAGGTTTAACGCTTTTCACCCAGCTACATTACGTCTTTGCATATACAGTGTGGAATACGAGACACAAGTATGTATATTTATGACCCAAGGATCATATAACATTAATAAAATTTTAAGAGTCATTATCTTGGAAGGTTTAACGATGGTAAATATTACCTGACACTTTGTACACACTCGTCAGGTACAGCCAGTCAGTCATACAGCGAGTAATGAATGTACAGATATAAACGTAAATATAAACATTATGAACACTATCTAGCAATATATTAGAAGAAATATTGCAACATTCAACACATAGGAAATGTGAAATCTTGAAGCAGTATTCAAGATAATGAAAAGTGACAACCAAACGTAACCATTTAATGGATCTAACCACAGGATTTACATATCTAAGTAAAAACACGACCTTTTCACCTCGTATGACGTAAACACACTATAAGCGACATAAAACATAACACTGGATTTAAGCAACAAAACCTGACACCCAATCTATAGCGCGGTACTGTGGCATAGCGTTTACCAGCCTAATTTACCTAATGACCAGCGCACCTTAATCCAAGACCCGCTAAGGAGGCCAAAGGTATGTGTGGTATCCCTCCCTTGTTCTTGAGCGTCTTGTCTTGTCCATCTGGGGTTAAGTATTTTATCCCTTTCATAATTCTTTCTTAAAACTACGACATTGTGGTCTTCGCCTCCAATGTTCTAACACTCCTGAACAAAAAAATCATATGATGGTGTGAACAAAATATTGACGTAGCAAACTTAAACTTGTGGACTAAGATGGTGCCTGAAGTAATACCAAGAGTGAAAACACAGATAAAAGTAAAACCCATTAACATTTTATCGTACTGTCTAACTATTAATGATTTCTAGACAGTAAAATACTACTACTACTACTACTACTACTACTACTACTACTACTACTACTAATAATAATAATAATAATAATAATAATAATAAACATAATAATAATAATGATAATAACGAAAAACGCACATATTCACACTTACTGGAAAAGGTTAAACAGTAAGATTTTCTTCTCTATCCCGTTCACTCAACCTGGAAAGGGAAATGATAATAGTGGTAATAATAATAATAATAATAATAATAATAATAATAATAATAATAATAAAACAACAACAACAATAATAATAATAATCTTTTGTTTTCTTTTATTCTGTGGAAAAACAAGAATAAAATATCTCCTTTTTTGTGTCGAGGAAGGAATGTGGGATGGGTGTACCTTGGCGCACTTTAAGATAGGGAACAGGCAAAGATTGGAAAGAAAATAGTAAAGAAAGAGAGAGAGAGAGAGAGAGTTACAGTTACGGAAAAGAAGAGAAAATTGGAGAAAAAAAGAGAAAGGGAGAAGAACAAAGTAGACAAGGGAGGCGAAGGAAGGTCAGGTCAGGCACTCAGAGGAGACCTTACCCACCTGTTGAGTGACCCAGACGCTCTCTCCCTCTCTCTCTCTCTCTCTCAACCTAACCAAACCTGAGCCACGGTGTTATCAAAGTACAGGGAAAGGTGTTTAGTTTACCCCTTAAAAAGAAAACGACTTCATTTAACCTGGCAGAAAACGATACTTCTTTTTATGTTGATATACAAGAATAGATCAACAACTTATCCTCTTAATGCTTGGCCAAAAAAGACGATCTCCTCGAAAACTGGTTCCACATCACCTAGAGAATAGACCCCTTCCTCCTCCCCAATTCAATTCACCTTAATCTCTCTTAATGGCTACCTTACCTAACCCTTTAGATAGCGTTAGGGTTCGTTAATCTTCAGGTAAAATAAGCTGGGGGAGGCGATTCTTCAGATGAAATAAGCTAGGAGGGAGAGAATCTTCAGGTGAAATAAGCTGAGGATGCGAATGTTCAGATAAAATAAGTAAGTTAGGCAATTCTTCAGGTAAAATAAGCTGGGGGAGCAAATCTTCAGATAAACCTTCATTTCAACATCAATATACAACTATGCACCACCAATTAACCACCCCTTACCCTCTCCCCTCCTTTCCGCCCCTCCCTTCCCCTCTCCCCTCCCTTCCCCTGTCCCCTCCCGTCCCCTCTCCCCTCCCTTCCCCGTCCCCTCTGTCAATAGGTATAGCGTTCAATGTTCGTAAATTACCACGACACACAAAACAAAAAACGATACCTCTAACAATATTAACAGGTTCTCTAGTTAATTCTTAAACGAGAGGGATGAAGTCTTCTAAAAAAAAGTTGTGGAACGTGTGGTGAGGCCGTACCTGACGCCTCCTGCCTTATATGGTTCACCTGTGTGTTGATGACCAGGTAACTTGTGCTTCCTTATTTGTCTGTAATTATCGGATTTTGTGACTTTTTCATGCAGAGTAGAGAATGAGAGGAAGTAGGAATGATGAGTACAAAGAAGGAGAGGACGTAAGAATTTTTTAAACAAATAGAGATGAAGTGGGAATGAAAGGAATTAGGAATGAGAGGAAGTTGGAATGAAGGAATTAAAAAATGAGAGGAAATAGGAATGAAAAGAAGTGGGAATGAGAGGAAGTAAGGATGATGGAAACAAAGAATGAAATAAAGTACAGGTAGGAATAAAATAATTAAAGAAACACACAGAATAGAATCAAAAGGAAAAAACGAGAGAAATAGGATGACGAAGAGGAGATAATGAAATAAATAAAGAAAGAGTGGAACAGACAAACAGAAAAAAAACAGCATGGGAGAAACAGAGAAAAAACGTAGAGAGAATAAAAGGATAAATAATTGTGTTGGCTCCTGCCTGTTCCTCAGATTAATAAACACTGCGACTTGTAATGAGGAATGAGGTGGGGATAGGGGGAGGGGAGGCAGGTGTCCTTCATGATGGGTTAAACTGTATAATGAGGAGCATGGGGCGTTCTCTTGCTATGAGGAACGACAGCAACTTGAGTTTTATTACGTAAATGAATGTGAAATAACAAGAGAGAGAGAGAGAGAGAGAGAGAGAGAGAGGTGTGTGTGTGTGTGTGTGTGTGTGTTGCAGGTGACCCTAAGTGATGCTCAGGTGTAACATTCTCTACTGACGTGAGCGACTTTACCTAGTTTAAAACCCCCCCACCCTGTTATCTCTCTCTTTAAAACAAACATGTACACACCACCACATAAACCATTAATACACCACCCCACCCCACTCATCACCATCCATCACTTATCATCACCACCACCACCTATCATCATAACCCATCATCACCATCATCCATCAATCATCATCAACACCATCCATTACCCATCAACACCACTTGCTTTCACCACCACCATTCATCACCCATCATTACCACCCATCATTACCACCCATCATCATCACCCATCATTACCACCCATCATTACCACCCATCATCATCACCCATCATCACTACCTATCACCCACTCCTTATTCACCAACTCTTTCATTATAAAAAAACAGTAACAAATACAGACAACAATGACGTGTAAAGGTGTCATCCAGATGTCTCTTAGCACACCTGTAATTATGTCTCAATCTTCAGGTCAATAACACCTTTGTTTTGGGCGACCGAGATCCAATGACACCTTTGTTTAGAGCGACCGAGAGATCCAATGACACCTTTGTTTAGAGCGACCGAGAGATACAATGACACCTTTGTTTAGAGCGACCGAGAGATATAATGACACCTTTGTTTTGAATGACCAATATTAAGGTGACTCAATCCCCCCTCCCTTCAAACACGCTACCTGTAAGTCGTATGGTTACATGAATAAGGGTGTGTGTGAGTGAGTGAGTGAGTGAGTGAGTGAGTGAGTGAGTGTACATAATCACGAAAGCGCTTCCATCTTATCATGTTTCTGTTCCTAATGTTTGTCCCCACATGTGTATTAAATATCCACTGTGATTATTATACATACATACATACATACATACATACATATATACACTGAAACAATAGATATGACTTCAACTACTCTTGGTCTTGAGTAATAAATGGTTCAGTGCCAGAAGGGTACACCCGAATATGGAGAATTACTACTCCTTTATGTCACTCTAACCTTGGGATAACAATAGTAACAATCAGTGGATGTCAGTCACCGCCTTGTTGAACACGAGGTAGAAGTGAGAGACAGCCCTTTTATCACCCCCCCCAAACCCCCCCCGGCCCGCTGAGAGAGAGAGAGAGAGAGAGAGATATGGGTAAGGTACACGTCATACAGCACCCATTAGGAACCTTACACGTCATACAGCACCCAATAGGAACCTTACACGTCATACAGCACCCAATAGGAACCTTACACGTCATACAGCACCCAATAGGAACCTTACACGTCATACAGCACCCAATAGGACCCTTACACGTCAAACAACAACCCAATAGAACCAGTACACGTCATACAGCACCCAATAGGACCCTTACACGTCAAACAACACCCAATAGAACCAGTACACGTCATACAGCACCCAATAGGAACCTTACACGTCATACAGCACCCAATAGGACCCTTACACGTCAAACAACAACCCAATAGAACCAGTACACGTCATACAGCACCCAATAGGACCCTTACACGTCAAACAACACCCAATAGAACCAGTACACGTCATACAGCACCCAATAGGAACCTTACACGTCATACAGCACCCAATAGGACCCTTACACGCCGTACAGCACCCAATAGGACCACTGACCACACTAGATGATCGTCCGGTACACGCCCAGAGTTACGACACCTCTACACACCTATAACAACACGATATTCATATCTACTCATTCTCAACCAGGAGTAAATCTTTCCCTGAAATCGTTAAGGGTTAACCACATGACCCTGGATGATCCTTGTGTGGTAGAGAGAAGGGAAATCGAAAGCGAGAGATAGAGAAAGGGTTTTGGTCAAGTCGAGGTCCTAACACGATGGAATGACCCTACCGTGAACACTCCCTAGCAACAAAAAGCTCTTACCAGTATGTTTATCACCGCAGGAAGTAAATGCAGACATACGAATCTAAAGGACTTACTGAAGATATTTCCTTATGCTTAAAATTTATTGTAATATAAAGGATCGCATGGGACAACAACGTACGTGTTATTGCAAGATAAACATCAGACGCTGTTGCCAAGTCAATGCCGGGGATCGTGTTGTGGTTTGGGTCTCAGTTCTTTAAAAGCTTTACTGCTAGTTTATGCTGACAGTTTCTCCCTCCTTTCCTCCCTCTGTCCCCAGCGTCGTTCATTTTAGCCCTCACAGTGTATAGGTCTTCCACGGTTTGAGATAAGGCCTAAACTGGTCTCTTTCTCCATCTCAAGGTCGAGGGTTACGGTTCACTCTCACTCTCTCTCTCTCTAAATCTCTCTCACTCTCACTTCCTCCCACTCTCACTTCCTCCCACTCTCATTTATCCATCAAATAGTTTCCTCTCACCGTTGTTACTTACACCTACTACCAAACCCTAATAACACTCCCTTCCCAACACCCCTTTACCAACACTCCCTTACCAACACCCCCTTACCAACACCTCCTTATCAACACCCCTTTACCAACACTCTCTTACCATAACCACCTTCCCAACACCCCCTTACCATAACCACCTTACCAACACTCCTTTACCAACACCCCTTTACCAACACTCTCTTACCATAACCACCTTACCAACACCCCCCTTACCATAACCACCCACCAACACTCCTTTACCAACACTTCCTTGCCGTAACCTCCTTACAACACCCTTACCATAACCACCTTACCACACCTTACTGTGTGCGTCATCTATGGCCTTCTAAGACAGCAGGCAGTGGGGAGGGAGGTCCGCTCATCACTGTGTGTGTATGGACAAGCCGCTACAGGGAGTCTGCCAAATTTCTAGGCATTCTGCCAGGAGAGGCAAGGAGTGTTTCCTCTCCCTCTCTCTCTCTCTCTCTCTCTCATCTGTTCTGTCTGTCTGTAAGTATACCAAAAAATAATAATAACGATGCAAAATACACACACACACACACACACACACACACACACACACACACACAGTATGTTACGGAAGTTAGTCGTAGGTGAACAGTTTGTTAAGAGTGGCGCTGGCTGTTGGTTTAAGATCAACAC